TTTGGCTAATGAAGTTTTACGTCATCAAGAAATTTCAATATATTCCTCCCGCTTATGAACAATATTTATTTACCAACCAGATTTCTCTTCTGCTTTATTCATCATAAACCAAACAATTATTTTAATGTTATTGTACACGTTCTTCTTTTTTTTTTAAAAAAAAAGAGATTTGATTTATTTTATCATCACGTCATCTTTATAGGCATTGTTTTAATGAAATGTTTTTCACAAGTTATAAAATGTTTTACAACAATAATTGCGGTTAATAAATCTCGATTGTCAAATTCTGTATTTTCAGTATATTTCTGTAATATGTAAATTGATTTAATTTTGCTTTGCTCATTTATAACTAATGATTATGGGTAAAATGTATATTCATTAATAGAATTTTGATGAATACGAATGAATGGATTTAAAAGGTGAATTTCAAAAAATGTTCAATTCAAAATTTCATTCTTTTTAAAACAAAACGAAATAATTTTTCCATACAATAAAATTTCTAAAAGTAAAAAGAAATGTAATAGCTGCTGTTACATCGGTTACTTCGATCCTCGACGGAAGAACTTGCCTGTTTATATATGGTTCTTGTTTTTAAAAAGATTTGTTATAAACTGGAATTTAAAACAACTTTACAAATTCTTTGATGACTTCAATCAAACAGCATCAATCGAAATCAAAGTTCTTAAGTAATAACACAAAAATATATAGCAAATATAAAAATAGGTTATTTATACTCAATGATTGAAATCCATTCATTACATGTCCCCTTGATAAGATTATAAAAAATATTTAATTCTTTAATTGTTCGAAACCAAAATATATTGTAAAATAATTATATACGTACATTAACAAATAAATTTAATAAATCTGGAATTTCACAAATAAAATATTTTATGCAAACTATAAACTATTAAATGTATTATATTCAAAACCTGTATTAACGATTTCAAACAGATGAGATTGTACAAACATTCTCGTTAAGATATTTCAATAATACTAGCTGGATGCACAACCATACATGAATGTGATTCCTAAATGATGAATCGTCGATTTTTCTATCAATCACATTTGCAAATGTTAAAACTTTTACACATGATACAACTTCAATTCTTTAACACATAATCCGACAAATCTCTTCAGATATCCAGTTCACGTTTCACGGTTAAACAAAGATTTGAGACATTAACTATAATTCTTTTTACCGTTTTTAATAACAATTGGATAATAAATTTAATTAATTTAAAAGATCAAAATGAAATAAGACAAATGAGAGAAAAAAAGTAAAGTAAAAAACGAGCAAATGCTAACACTAACTTAAATTTCATTATATTTCCCATATTCGAATATAGAATAGAAATCTTTAAAACAAAAATTATACAATGAAACAACATAGTTAAATAAAGAGGACAATCTCATTGATGTCCTTTGAAATAGAAATATTATTCTTTTTCAGAAAGTGAGTCCATGATTCCGAAGCAACATTTTCATTTCCGTAGGAAACGGTCAAGTGTTTATACAAACAATTGGAACCTTCAAGACATTTTTCATCATCTATATTTACCAAGAATTTGAAATTCTTGATTCTGTCTCCGAGTACTTGCCGAGCCAATTCAAATCCTCTAAGAAATTATTTCCTTACTAACAAGAAGCTGATATTTAATGTCAAAAATTACTTTCATTTACCAAAATAAATAATCAAAATGAGGAAATGCTACACGGCAAATGTTCAATTTTTTATTTACGTTAATTACACAATTAATCACCATAATTGTTTTCGCAGTAACATAAGATCTTCAATATGTGTCGCACATTACATTCTTTTTCTTTGAAATAATTTTTCTTATAATTTATAACAATGTCTGATATTAACAATAAAGATAAAAGTGTGGTGAAAAAAATAAAAAATATTTTCACCAAACATAAAAAAGAAATAAAAGGTATGAAGTAGGATGTTAAGCGGTCCTATCAAGAACATTTATACTAGATTATGATTATATCAGTTAATTAATTTGAATTTACTCAAGATAGAGCCAGTTCATTAACATTTATTTGTTTTTAAGTCAAATAATAATTTTTGATTTATTATTTTTTTATATTAAAAAAATAATAAAATAAAATTGATACTTGGATTTTTCTGTATTTTTTAAAAAAAAAATAATAATAAATTAACCTCGCAATATACATATTTAAAAGCATACATTAAACAAACTCTATTATCATTTTATTCTTTCTAATAGGGTCACCAACCGCATGGGATGTTAAAGATGGACGTAATCTTTTGAAATTTAATTCTGACAAACTTATAGTGACTTATACAGGTGAGTTTATTACCTTTCACGTTACTTATTCTTGCATAATTACAATTATTTTCAAATATAAAGGTCTGGGTAGAGAAGAAGACTGTGCTGCAATTCGAGCAAATTTTCCAATTCCTGAACAATATGAATTATTTTATTTTGAAGTTGACATATTAGATAAAGGGGAAATGGGCATGTTATAAAACTTTGAAATACACTTGATTGTTTAAATTTTGCCGATAATCAATTTTCATTCCATAGGGAGATTGGAATCGGGTTTTGTACAAAAGCGGCTAGCCTAAATGAAATGGCAGGTAATTTTACTCTTATTTTTATCAGCTTAATTTGCCAAATAAATTATTTATTGAATTATTTATAATGTAGGCTGTGAAGATAGCTCGTGGGGTTATCATGGCGATGATGGAAGAATATTTTTTAACTCAAGAGGTGGCAAACCATATGGACCAAAATTTATGACCGGTGATACTATCGGATGTTGTTTAAACTTTAGAAATTATACGGTATTTTATACAAGAAACGGAGTGAATCTAGGTATATTACAAATTCTCAGTTTTTTTTAGGTTAAATAATAGATAGAGAATTAATCTATATTTTATATTTTGAGGAATCATATTCCGCAATTTGAAAAATGCTTTGTATCCTTGTGTTGGAATTTGGTCGCCAGGTGGAACTGTAGGAGCAAACTTTGGCTATAAAAAGTTCAAATACACAGGTATACTTATTTAGTTATTTTTTTCTTTATTTTCTGTATTAATAATAATATTTTTAAGTGATGAATGATGATGATATTAATGAATCTTTAAAGGAGAATTGGGCTGAAATTCTTAATCCATATAATGACAAATTAATAAGTCAACAGATTATTAGATTTACAGATTTAAAACAATTATCAGATGTTGAACACATACCAAAATACCGTGAAAAATTTTATTTTGTTATAGGTGAATATGAACTTGCACTTTCAGACCTGATAAAGTTGCTAGAATTTGAGGCAAATAATACATTTGCATTAAGATATCGAGGAGAAACTTTTTGTATAATGGAAAAATATGAGGAATCACTTGCAGATTTAAATAAATTACTAGAAATCAAAGCAAACGATACATGGACGTTAAATGCCTGTGAAGTAGTTAATTAGTTGAGTATAATGCTATTTTATATTAAGGATTAAATTTATTAATTATTTTCTAATTAAAAAATATCAAATTTTCAGCAAAGATTTAAATGGTAATGGAATTTATATCATTATCAACATGAATTTTAATGAATATTTTATATTTGCTAATAATTCTATAATAATTAAAATTTCATTTTATAGCTTGTAAGCTATTTAATTTTTTATATAATTAACATTTTTAATTAATCAATATTTAATAATATAGGGAGTAAGTTATTTTTAATTTTCTATTTTGCAATTTAAACATAATTTATTTATTTAAAAATTTTTTAATTGCATTTTAGTTGGTAAGTTATCCTTATATTTTATAAATTGTATAATTATATTTCTATAATAAATTTTACTTTACTTAAATATTATAGATCGTAAGTATTATTTATTAAATAAATTAATTATAATTATATTTTACTTTAAATAATAATGATAATTATTATAAATTATTGAAAATGATTATATAATATACATTTATTGTTAATGACAACTAAATTTTATATTTAAAAAAATTTATAATTAATAATAATAGATAGTAAGTATTTAATTAAATAAACTTTTACTGTAATTTAAAACTCAACACAATTTTTTATTTAAAAAAATAATTAATAATTAATAAAATAATAGATTAGATAGTAATTTATTTTTATTGATTGTCAGTATTTAAATATTGTTTTACTGTAATTTAAACTCAGCTTAATATTTTATTTCAATAATAATTAATATTTTAGATTGTAAGTTATTTTGATTGATTATTAGTATTTAATTATACTTTTCTTTTTACGTAATTTAAACAACTGAATTTTTATTTTAAAAATAATTAATATTTTAGATTGTAAGTTATTTTTATTGATTATTAGTTTTTAATTATACTTTTTACTTAATTTAAACTTAACAATTTTTTATTTAAAAAAATAATTAATATTTAGGTTGTAAGTTATTTTTTTGATTATCAACATTTAATTATAATTTTTATCGTCAACTAAATTTTTATTTAAAAAAATAATTAATATTTTAGTAGTAAGTTATTTTTATTGATTATCAGTATTTATATTTTTTACTACAATTTAACTCAACAAAATTTTTTATTTAAAAAAATAATTAATAATTAATAACATAATAGATAGTAAGTTTATTTTTATTAATTAATAGTATTTAATTATACTTTTTACTACAATTTAAACTTAACAATTTTTTATTTAAAAAAATAATTAATATTTAGGTTGTAAGTTATTTTTTTGATTATCAACATTTAATTATAATTTTTACTGTCAACTAAATTTTTATTTAAAAAAATAATTAATATTTTAGATAATAAGTTATTTTTATTGATTATCAGTATTTATATTTTTTACTACAATTTAAATAAACTCAACAAAATTTTTTATTTAAAAAAATAATTAATAATTAATAATATAATAGATAGTAAGTTTATTTTTATTGATTAATAGTATTTATTTATACTTTTTACTATAATTTAAATTCAACTAAAATTTTTATTTTACAAAATAATTAATATTTTAGATGGTAAATTATTTTTATTGATTATTAGTATATAATTATTAAATTAAATAACTAAATTTTTATTTTAAAATCAAAAATACTATTAAAGGGAGTAATTTATTTTATTGATTATTAATATTTAATTATATTTTTACTGTAATTTAAACTCAACTAAATTTTTTATTTAAAAAAATATTAATATTTTAGATTGTAAGTTATTTTTATTAATTATCAGTATTAAATTTACTTTTTACTATAATTTAAACAATTAAATTTTTTATTTAAAAAAATAATTAATATTTTAGATTATAAGTTATTTTTATTGATTATCAGTATTTAATTATACTTTTTAT